CGGCCACGGCTGGTACGACTACCTCCTCTTCGCAAATGGATCACTAGCTACTATCCAAAACATGACCTGGAATGGAAAACAGGGCTTCCAAAAGCCTCCCGTTGAGCCGTTCTTCGTGCCCTATACCGATGCTCTGGATCGCATTGCAAATGGACATTCGAGTACGCCTTGGACTGCTGATGCTGGTGCTGGTATTCTGGGCACGGCGCATACTGAGCGCGGTCTGACCTTTAGTACTGTCTACGGCTCTGGTCATGAGATCCCACAGTATGTCCCTGGTGCGGCTTATAGGCATCTTGAGTTTTTGCTCGGGCGCATTGATAGCCTTCAGCAGAAGGGACCTTTTACTGCACTGTAAATATTTGCTCCTCATCTGTCTCTGGTGAGAGCATCATAGAGAACTATGCATGTTATTTAGAGGGAAAATTCTCAAAAATGTACAAATCTTACTCTCACGGGCTATTATGTAGATGACGTCATACATATCGGCCCGCTTTAGGCCAACATAACGTTATGCTCGTATTCGTATCTGGAATGCTGCAATATGATTGGGCTTTCTCATGTACACTATAGGCATTTCCCTTTCAGATGTTAATGATATTCGCTCTGTGTGCGACATGTCTGTATCTAATGAGTAGAGTCAATAACGACAATAACGTTATGTCTGCCCCGACTATGTATACATAAAAGAACACTAGACCGACATGAAAAATAATAGAAATCATCTCACACAAGAAAGAAGACCAATTCAGTTCAATTCAAACACTGTACCGATTCTTCCCTTGAGACGTATTCCACTATGTCCACCAGCAACTATTCCATCCCATCAATCATCGCCGCCTATGGCCTCGGTATTGCTCCACACGGGTATTACTTGGTGAAGATGATGGCCAATGCAAAGGGCCAATCGAGCAATATCCTGTATGTCATTCCGAAGTATACATTCAGCCCTATATCGAAACAACGCCGCTAATCAACTCAAAGGCCTCGGGAAAACCTCTCCACCCTGAAAGGTCAAATCTCAGTCCAAGTATGGGACAAACTCGCCAGAGCTCGTGGCGCACACTTGAACGCTATGGAGGGACTTCCGATGTTTGCAGCTGCAATGGTAGGTTATATTCAGTGACACGCTTAGAGTCCCTATATTGGATGCCTTGTCCTAACGCGCATTCTTCCCGCAGCTTGCAGGAAACCTGGCGAATCTCCCAGCGAAGGATATGAATACTTTGGCAGTTGAGTACATCGGTGCGCGAGTCTTATACACGGCCCTTTACATGGGTGTCCGATCGGAGGCGGCGAGTTATCTGCGGACTGGTGTTTGGGCCTGGAGCATTTCGCTTCCGATCTGGGCGTTGTATAAAGCTGGGAAGGCACTTAATGCTGCCGAGTGATCTTGACAGCAGCTACCATCTTGTATTTCAGAAGAAGAGTTCATTTTGGGGTGTTTCCAGTTCTATTCGTAACGACTGCTTTGGTCTGCTATCCATTCGTCAAATGACATACCCTTAGAAAGTCAAAGCTCTCTCTCCTCTTTTCCTCCTAAGACAATTACTACTCTCGACAACACTGCTCTCGAATGCCCACCACCATCGCTCAAACATCAACTGACCAATTTCCCACTCAACTGGTGAAAACGGATCCTGTCCCCGAATATTGACACCCTCGCCACCAGGATCCTCCATGTCATATACCAGCCTCACGAGACCTAATTGATCCTGTGCGCTTTTTGGACGCATGTCAATAGGAAGATTAAACACTTGAATCAACTTATCCCGCGCGCCAGGCCAGGGTAGAAGATCTAGGATTGGATGGTGCGGGACAAGGCGTTGCGTAGGTGTTGGTTGAAGATGGGATGGTAACTCTTCAAATTCGGGCAGATCTGTCACTTGGGCAGAACTTGCTGATGACTTTTCTGGTGATGACCCCAGGCTATCCAAGGATGGCAGCGATGCGCTAGATGATTGAGAAACATTCTGTTGGAAAAATGGACTGATAGCTGTCATGTCCCATATGAGCTCGGTGACATTTAGTCGCTGTGCGACTTTCATTGCGGCATTGAGTAAAGTCAAAGACGGGACTTCTAGCATGCGATCATCGGGGAAGTTGAAGAAGGACGCGTCGTAGTTTTGCAGTTCTGTGGATATGTCGAAATTGGAGTCTAAGTTGCTGGGAAGACTGTCTAGGAATAGGTTTTTGGGTTCGCTCAGCATCGCGTCTTGGTATTCTTGATTTTCCCATTCTAGTGCTGGCTTATATCGGTATATTAAATCTTCAAAAGGAAGGTCATCCAATAGCGGTTTAGAGTATATTGGGTTCATCGCTGTGAGATCGGACGAGGGTGTTTGAGGAAAAATTGGGATGGTTGCGGGATTCTGATTGTTTACTTGGATTGCTTCATCCGCCGACTGAATGAAAGAGGTGAATCCAAGTCCAACTTTCATGGAATCAACTGGGACAATCTGGGCGTGACACGTCTGAGATTCACGCTGGGCTGTGGCTGGAGCCGACGGTACGGCCTGAGGGGCCTCTGTATGATTTGCACCACGCGATTCCAGAGCTTGGATCCGCTCCCTTTTTCTTTTGCCTGTTGTATCTCAGTGATGGCCCTACTTGTTTAAAAGGTACCACTTACGATATCTTCTTTGGGCTAGGATGTTGAGGACGCGCTTCCGTTCCAGGGCATCCTCTTCCAGTCGGGGAGGAACCAAGTCCGGGTTGGCAGACTTTCGAGACATGAGTGGTAGTCTATCTGGCCGGCTTTTTTCTTAGAATTAAAAGGTTTGGATAAAATTCTGTTTGTTAAACCCTGGAGGTGGGATGAGGTACAATCCTTGCAACGTGTTATCGGGTCATGGCCTGCTCGTATTCGGGCAACGCCGAGCCATATGCGGGGGTTACGGTAGGAATGATCGAAAAATTTGAGCAAACCTAAACTCATGAGGTAGATGAAGGCTGAGATAATTTAAAAATGAAATTTTTACTTTTCGGTATGTTGTTCAGCCACCGCCACTTTCTTCATGCGTTTCTATCATTACTATTTGTAGGGCTCAAATGGTCCGTCCTAAACATCCATTATTCTAAACCTCTCCGGATCATTATATCAAGCTATCATTCCTCCTCCTTCACAGACAGAACTTATCAAGATATCACACATTGTGGACAACCACTCTCCACTTAGTGGTGCTTCTTGGCAGAAGCAGTGGAGCTGGGACCGGCAGAGGAGCTGGGAGTAGCGTCCAAGGGGCCGATCCTCAGGGTGCCGCAAGGACTGGTTGGAGCACTGAGGCAGCCACCGAGGTACAGGCCGAGGCTACCAGTCGCGTTGCGGGTTGAGAGGATCTGGTTAGGGCCGTATGCCGACACCAAAGAAGTGGCGTTGTCGGCAAAGAATGTGGAGTTCACTCGGCTACCGATGAAAGTAGCATGGCCGTTGTACTCAGCAGCCAGGCGGGCCATGAGGAAGGAAACCTCGGGGGTTTGGGTGTAGCCAGCAAGACCGATGAAGCCACCAGTGACAGTAGACTCGAATTGATAGGCCCACTGAGCCCAGGCCGAGGTGGTGTTGACCTTGGGGTACGTGAAGTTGCATTTGGGCTGCTGGAAGCTGGAGACCTTGGCGCCGACCTTCTCAACGGCTTCAAGCGCGAGCGTGTTCTGGTTTGAGAGGCCCTGGAGGATCTTCTTGTATGCCACAATAGACGCGTTCTTCGAGCTAGAAGGGAAGTTGGAGTCCACCGTGGAGTTGTAGTAGCCGCCGATGAAGTCAGCCAGACCCCAGGCGAATTCCAGAACCCCGGCGTCAGAATCCGAGGGCGAGCAAGAACAGTTCGCCGCAGAGGAGGCAGTAGCTCCGGCCAAGACAAGGCTAATCAAGTTGAGGAAACGCATCTCTCTTTAGGTCACTTTAAAGGTATACAAGATTGAGGAAGATGAAAGTGGGAGAGAAGAAAGCTTTGCTACGTCGTCCGTACCCGGGCACTGTTTTATAAGCTCGCATAAGTCTTCTCGAGTCATGATCGCGCCTAGCGACGAATGCGGCAAGATTCGCAAATCAGGCGAAATGAAGCTGGAAGATAACCGGTAGTCCTTTTCTTGCTAGCGTCATAGAGGTAAGCGGCAGGGATTGCGCGTGGAACACTGGAGAAAGGCAACTATGGTGTTCAATGATATAGCTATATTTTCGTCAAATGACGTATACCGTTGCATATCTCAACAGGCCAGATCAATTCGCTGCCTATCATCGCAATAAAGTTTCGGGAAACGTGGAGCTCAAGATTTGAAGGTACTAACTGCAGTTGGGGAGGTTCGGGATACCCGGCATGGTGTGGATCATGGCGTCGTAGACTCCGAAAAGTTCACAGTTGCATCCTAAAAAGACCTAGAACCTCACGGAGTATTTAAGACAATTATACCTTACTAAAAAAAAGGTGGATTCTCTAATTGAATCATAATGAAGCTTTGGTCCCACAAGGTAGCAAATTCTGAGTCCTTGCATTTCTTTTTTAGCTGTTCGGATGAGAGCGGATAACCAGGTCTGACTACAAAAGATGTTCTTTACAGTGACTGAATGAACTTCTCAAGTTTAATTTTAAAATTCTGTTGCCTATAAAAAATCTAGAGTATCCAAGCTTGGCGAGCCTGGGGGGAAGTAGTAGATGAGCAACGTAGGAAACACAGGATCTGAAAAACACCGAAGAAGAAAAAAGCAAGTATCCGCTAAACACACAAATATCCTTCCCATGTTTCATCCTATAGAATCCGCCATCAATCATGTACATAAATATACACCGAGTCCATCTATATACATTTCATGTGATGCGCAACTATACATATCCCGCTCAATAGAGCGCTCAGTCCCGTACATAAGATGACGAGACCATATCCACTCCCATATCCCCCGACAATAGAATCCTTCAAGGGATCTGTGCGAAGCAACGCCTCACTGAAAGGGCCGCTAACGACATTGCCAATTCCTCGCCCAAAGGCAATGACTGAAAATATTATGGTCGCATCGGCGGTTGGGTCGACTCGTTGGACCTCATTCGTAATTCCTGACCATGTAGCCGAGAAACATCCTGCAAATAGTCCATATGCAACACTGAATACCAACAAAGTTGGAATTGTTGAAGAAAATCCCCAGAGGAATAACACTGCCAGCGTACTGCCAACGGTGGAGATCGTAATGCAGGTGATTACGTGGTATCGATCTGCTAGATGGCCCATGGTCACGCTGCCGAACACAGACGCTAGATTTAAAAGCATCACCGTGAGCGAGGATATAAAACTAGAGCCTCCGATATTGCGGGCGTATGTTGGGAGATATATGCCCGGTAGGAAAAATCCCAGTGCCTCCATGATGTTGCCAATCTGATAGATGACAAATACCTTGTTGAGAAGGAATCGGAAGTTGAGACGATGGTAGCCGATCGTTTTAGAAACTGGAAGGCGTGGTTTGTGGAAGTATAAGAGCGGAGCAGCTAGAACAAAAATGAGGACGGAGATGACTCTCAGAGTGGTTTGGAACCCAAAATTTGACAAGAGTTTCTCCAGGCCGATCGGAAAGGCGAGCCCAGATACCCCTGATCCAGCCCAGACTATGCCGAATGCAAGTCCTCTTCGTCTGACGAACCATTCGCTCATGTAGAGAATTGAAGGGCTGTATGCTATACAGCCACCGACTCCAAATCCGACACCTTGTGAGAGGATAAGGTGGGTAACGTTCTTTGAGAATGATCCCAAAGCTAGTGAAAAGCACATGATGGTTAATCCTATGATAGAAAACCATCTGCCCATCTTGGGGACGAGAATCATTGCAATAATTACGACGGGACAGCTCAAATAGGAGATTCCCTGTGTGAATCATTAGCAGATGGGCAAGGAGTAAGATTTGGTACTCTAACCGTAGCACATGTTCCAATAACAGCCACCATATCAGAGCCCTGGAAATCTTCAAGGTCTCGATAGTATTTTTCAAACACACCAAAAGCGAAGGCGAATCCTATAGTGCAGTTAGTTAGCGTGTTCTGCATGATTGAAACTTGTCCTGTGTTTATTACCCCATATAAGAGCCTCAAGCATAACACATGCTGCCAGAAACATCCATGCTTGGATTCCTCCATCCACCGGAGGAAGTCTTTCCTCTTCAGTTGAGATACCATCGAACTTTTCAGGACATAAGTGTATCTGGGCCTCGCTCCCAGTTCGTGAGTTGCTGCTGCAAAAGTGTCTAGTCTCCATTTTGATTGTATTCTGTCAGGTTGAATGACATAGCATGTGAGACAAGACAGGAATCAGATTTAGACGGCCGACCTATCCGTTATAACTACATATGTTTGCACCTATAATTAATTTTTGTCACATTGCTCGATGACGGTCAAGGGAGGTCCAAGTTTTTGGAAGGGATGGATAAATCCACGTTAGAGGCCAACCAGGTGACGGGAAGAATTTCCATACGACTTGGATTATAAGGCTGGCATGTAACTTCTGGGATCCGCGGCTTATAGCCGGCAACTTTGCCTCACATCTTTGGAAGTTGGTCATTCAGGCGGAGCCATCTAGCTGATTGTGCAATTGGACCGGGAATCTGATGATTTGACCTAACATAAGTGCAAGTTAATGAGATCACTTTCATGGGTCCACTATGCTGTGTTATGATATCGAACCCCTGTTTTAAATCTCCTTTGACTATGAACACTCTAAAAGGCTCCAACTGACGTGCTTTGTGTGGGGAATAGAAAGATCACTCGGTCTGTGTCGGAGGATTGCTAGCTAGGGCAAACGGAAGACGGCTAGGAACGGGCATGCGAAGGGATTGGAATGTAGGGTACGCGAACTTTTCCAAACAAGGTTGAAAACACCGGAGACTTTATCGATAAGGTGTGTTATATGATATCATTGATCAAGCTTCAAGCTGTATACAGTAGCTTGGAAAGCCCCTTGCTTGCATAATTCCCCGTAGGACCACGTTAGACTCGTGATAAGCCAAGAACCTTGTTTTTGGTTTTAACAAACAAGGGGGCCCCGTGGATGCTCCAATGATCTCGTTCCTAATGTGACATAGCACGCAACATAGATGAAACGAACGCTGATCACCATTTGAGTTTTGTGTACTTAAGTTGTCTGCCTTCCCCGAGGGCTTGCTTGGTCACGCGACCACTATAGTGCAGCAGCAGCTCCCATAATAGTACAATCGGCAGAAGATCTGTGTAAGAAGCTTTATGTAGGCTCATGTACTAGAGGTAAAACGCAAGTTTGATTTTATATGATCATGTGGGGTTTGTAACAAACACGAGAACACCCTGTAAGGTATTTGAAGACATTTTGCGATTTGGCAGCGTCGTGATTCAAATTCAGTACATTTATGACAGCATGCGAACATTCAGCTAGTTGAGTTCCCTCAGTTGGCTAACCACAGATTTTGATCTGTGCCATACCCAAATGGTATCCACGAATCATTAAAGTATCTTTGTAGCACAGTCTGTCCGTAACTCATATCATCAACGCAGTATCCACCACCACCAGGTCCGATATGCGCACAGTGGATTTCGGGCCGATATTGCACCATATGCTCATGAACCTCACGACACAGCAATGTATTACGACCCAGCTCATAACTCTTGCCAAATCGTGCGGTTTTGGTCAAAAAGTCATAGCAAGCAGTAGTGTCGGTATACTGCTGATTTGACCCTGTGCAATACTGTTCATGAGTCTCGCAAATTGTATTTGCTAATAGATCGGCCACGTATGCGACAGCTTGGTCAGGCGAGGTAGCATTGATCTTCGTTGCCACACCTCCGATTAGGAAGTCGACTAGGTACTCGAACCAGCGGAACACGGCGTCATATTGAGCAATCTTTCCGTCTGGGTTGAACTCGATCCACGTATCGATCGTGACCGGGATGAGAACTCCGAAGGTGGTTGCGTTGAAAGTTACCACCGTGGTTGCAGAGGCGATGTTGTCGTTAGCGGCAAATTGGGTTATATTATATGCAATCGGGACACCGACAAGACTGACGTGCTCCGGATCCGAAAAGAGACCGAAGATGTATTCGCGGTTGAGCTCATCTCCGTCGAAGGTGCGGGTAATGTCAACACGTCCTTGGACCTATGATTTGTGAGAAATATTCAATAATCATCTAAAAAGGGTTTCGAAGGCATTATGCCTTACATCGGAGGCGAAAATTCTAGATGAATTTCCCTGTGTTTGCTCCAGATTTGCAGGGTAGAGGAAAGCATCCCAAAAGGTCTTTTCAAGATCCCAAAGCTGGTCAAATGTAAAGGTTGGCTTTGCATGCTTTGTTAGGGAGTCTTTGGATGCTTCCACTGAAGCAAACAAGCAGCCCAAGGTAGCTGCAAGTAAGGGTCCCCACAAGGTGGAAAACAAATTCATTCTGGGTTGATGTCACTCTAGCTCCACAGATGCGTTATGAAAGTGGCCATCGAAGATAAATGGCTCTTGGCCCTGGTATAAATAAATCTCTTTTTGCCATATGTTTGCCTGATTTATTTATTATTCGAGGTATGTCAGTTTTGATCTCAGTTAAGGCGCCCCATTGAAATCGGCTGACCCAAAATGTTTACCGTTGGCATGTATTGTTACGAGGACCCCGTTCAGGGGGTCTCGCTCCAATGAAGCTATTTAGGCTTGCGTCTTGCATTAGATGTGGGGATCATCCGGCCTCGCTCGGCAAGGCCCTCTACTGCCGCTTTATTCGTCGAGGGTAGTATTTGCTTTTGTAAGGGTTGAAAATCGGCTATCCCGCCACCGAGAAAAATTGAGACTGACTGAGACATTACTGCAGAATTCAAAGAATATGCATTACAGCGTGTATATTGAATCACGGTTTATCCTATTTTGTTGGCTTGCATATTTGCGGGTGGTAGTTCATCGAATTAAGGCTATTTACAGTAAACCTGGAAGTATTTGGATCCTACAGGTCTTGACCCGAGAATGTTTCACTCCGTTCCTCTCTAACTCTAAACTTTGTCCTTCTTTTTTATCCTTTTTCTACTCGCTATTTTCCAACCCTAATTACCAATTGCAAATGGAACAGTTTAATTGGCACCACTATTAATCAGCAACTGTTGAAGGATAAATGCCCGGAGTAATCGATCACCCAGGGCCCCTTGCAAGATTGCGGATTGTTCAATACCCAATGAACCACTAGTTTTGGTGTAGCACATGGACCAAAGAAAAGAAGTCAATCAAGGTCTCGCAAGTCCAATGTACTGAATTTTCGCAGGTCTAGTTTCGGTGATCAAACCACAGATCCCTCCATATCAGCATCTATATTCGACCCTCCCAACGAAGAGTAGATATTCTATATATTCAGAGGCTTTTGCAATCATCAGTATCTCCTCGCCCCCTCCTATCGAAATATTTACATCATGCGCACACATCCCAGGCCCGAGAGGCGACATTGTAAGCACAGCCTGCGGGTACAGCACGGCCGCACATAGGCGGGGAACAAGGTATCCTCTCCCTGTGGCGTTTGAGGATTCCTGAATTGCATTCTCGCATACTCCCACGCAAAGTTATCATGTCCCCTCCAGAGCTGAGTTGTATGCCCATCTGAAAGCCGAGTTGAACGATATTAATAATCATTCCCTGTAGACCCGTAAAGATGTACTCCCCGTTCAAGGACCTCAATCTCGTCGCCGACCTCAACATACAACCCCATATTTTGCTCTTCGGCCTCCATCAAGTTCCGATCTTCGGGAACACAGTGCATGCCAAGGTAACCGAGTGCCGCCTTATTTCCAGTCTCAATCGTACGGTGCTCGACTAATGTTGTGCTTGGCTGAGGTTTGCCTTTCTTTTTCTCTGGGGGAGGAATATCCGCATCGAATGTTCCCGTATTAGTGTTGACGTTCGGCATAGTGCATCGAGATGTGCGGCAAACAACTGATAGCACGGGAGCTACACTGGCGCGTGGCTTCTCGCTGCTACGAAGTTTGGCTCTTTTAGGCAGTATGCGGTAGCGCTTCCACGTCTCTTCTTCATAGGCGGGAGTGTTTGTGATCCATATGTTTGCCCGGAAGCGAACTGCATTCAAAGGTTGGTTCTCTGGGGGAAGAAGTGCCGACACAGCATGTACCGAAGACAAACTGTTGATATTGACAGGCTGCTGGTCTGTGTAGCCATGTACGGCTGGGGTGCCGATGTACTGAAGTGGCGCAAGGTTCTTATCGGTACGCACGAGGGTATCTGGAGTGCACCCCAACAGCGTGAGACTTTGATCCTTGGGGATTCGCAGAAACTTCTTCAGCTTAGGCAAGGCAGATGCAACTGAAGGTACTTCTCCCATATCAAGGCCCTTTGCGTCACGGGAATGTATACGGAACGTTTTCATCCTCATATGAAGCCGGTCCATCTGAGTCGCTGTGATTTGGAGAGGCACAATGAAGGATACCTGGGGCGTAGCGGAGAGGTTCCATGTATGGAAAAGTGTCTCAAGTCGAGTGGTCCAGTCAGGCATATCTGGGTCTGGAAATGTCAAGACCACACACCCACCTGATTGAACTAACGGGTCGTCTGGATTGCTGTCCTTGGTTGGCAGCCATAATTCTGTCTTGATGAGAGCCATGTTTGGTTTGGTGCGCTGGCTGATGAAACGCCATTCTGACACTGTAGGAGCTTCTGGTTGAGGCATCTCAGTTGCCAGTGCGAAAGACCTATCGTACTTAAAGCCAGCCTTGGTGAGCAAAGCTCGGTCGACCTCCACAGGTCCGCATGACTTGACAGGATGGATGTATATTGCCTTCACACGGGCTAGTCCATCGAGGCGGGCTCCTTCCGGTGCCTTGTATTTCGGGTCATATTGATCAGCCATGTTGCTCTTGTATAAACCGAGTTTCCGTAGATGTTTCAATTTCCTTCGTGTTGCAAAGTTGTTTCCAGAGTATGCAATAGCCGCAAAGAGCAGGCTTATCAGAAGTGATATTGTAACGAAGCCGTATAATACGACTGCAGCATCTAGCGTGCTTGATAAAGAGTGCACATATTGAAGTAGCATTTTCCAAACGTACCCTCTCGTAACGTCGAGGGTAGAACTGTTTCAAATGTTAGTGGCAGAAAGTAAGGTCGAAATGAGTCAACCGGGTGAATGTGAGAATGAAACTCGAGGCAGCCGTCAAGGACGGCAGAATATAAAGAATCTATTGGAGGGAGTGGGTCGTTACACTCTATACCGCCTTTTACGCATCTATACGGATACGCGCTACAGAAGAATACTGATATTATCTACTCGGAGACGTAAATGAAGATTGGTTGTGTTCCTTTTTATGTATTTCAAATATGAGAGAATTATCAGTAAATTTTTACAAGAGACTTCATTCGCAAATGAAAAAAAGTTAGCTTGTATTGATCGTCGCTAGTTGGCCGTGGTCTGCAGAAACAAAATGTCAAGAGTATTAAAAAAAAGACACATGTTATGAAATCCAAGGATTGTTAGTTTCGCAGAGATTTGAATCTCCCCCTTGCTCAAACTGATCCAACCACTCAGCGTCCCACTGAATCAACTCTTCCTCTGTCTCCAAGTAGGCCAAAGCAGCCTCGACTCTTCTCTTCTCTTCTCTCTCACCTTGAACTATTTGCAAATCAGTTTTTAAGCAGCAGACGGAGCCGGTATATAGCATATGAAGACCAAAAGAGCAGTGGCTGCCAAATTGGAGCCAGCGATGGACGTCGTCGCTCCAATAACGACAGACCATGCAGCAAGAAGGCTTCCACCTTCCACAAGAGCATTGCGACGAGGATGTATGTCAGATATGCAAACAGCCGCACAGTTCGAGAGAAATTGCAGTGTTGAGGAGATTGCAGTGAGGCCAAAGGGATTGCTCTGGCCAATAAGTTCGAAATACTACGTCTGGTAGGTATCTGGAGAGGAGCAGGAGATAGATATATTCGCACTCGGGGATATGAGCACCCATTTGCAAAGCAGCCATCAGAGAAATCCTGCGACTGAAGGCCAGGAACAGCGACAACTGTTCTTGATCGATGGTCCTTGGAAAATATCTCTTTCCAGTCGTCTTGCTTGAATTGGGAGGCTCGCCGTCCTCCATGTCGAGGTCCAACTTGAGCAAACTAATGCGCTTAATATACAATGCCCAGAGAACAAAGCGCTTGTCTTTCTTGAGGTGCGTCCATAGCTGCTGGTACTGTTTTAGGAGCCATGATGGTTCTAACAGTGACTTTCTTAGCGATATCGACAAAAAGTGTGCGACATTTTCGACATTACCAATCTCCTTTTCCTTGAGATCTGTCTTGTCCGAAACGACTTGATGCATGCTCTTTAACTCCATTGCAGAACGAGCGCAATGGCTTGCTTGATCAAAAGCCTCTTATGATAAGTAGCAGGATGGGATGTTCAAAGCAATCATTTTATAATGACCAAAATTGTGGACTTGACGTTCACAATATATCTCAATTCGTAAGATATGCGACATGTACGGACCACCAACGGATCTACATATGGGGAAGTACGAGGCAAAGTCCGGGTTCCAGTCTTTCCACAATATGCAGACCTGCTTCGCGCACTTCCATGGCTGTTGATTGTATGGCTCGTTGATTGTATCTGACAGATCCGAAAGGACCAATTGAGTGATGTTGAGGTTGAAAATATCGGCGAAACTATTCGCTCCTCCTCGAAAGTCGTGGGATATCTCCGAAGTTTGGCCGGCATTTTAGCGATCAGATCGTAGCTGTCAAGGCTTTCGTATCAAAGAGACTTATACTCATGCCCTTCATAATTGTTCGTTCGGTGAAATATCAAGTTTTGGAGTTATCATTGGACCAGGAATGCAGTTCACCGGGAAGAATGTGGGAGACAGCTCGGCGAAGAATGAGGAGCAAAACCGAGACTTGACTTTTTTGGAATCTCAGAACTTAGAAATGGGGTATCTAGTTGCGAACAAATTTTTTTGACTGTGATTGTTTTTCCGATATTCGTGATCGATTGTCGCGAGAATTGACCGAAAAAGGGGAAACGCGTAATTGAGGTGCGATCTTTTGAAGTATACCGAAATTCCGAGAACGCCAAAACAAGCCTGGATATATTTAGCCACTTCGGTCACTCATCTTCATAATCCAATATCTCATACATTCTGGAAATACCTCTTATTTACCCAATATTGCGAGATGGCATTCAATCGCTTCCGGCCTACATCGCATTTTATCGCTCCTCATTCGTGGATGAACGATCCATGTGGTGCAGTGTGGATACCAGAGACACAGGAATACCGTGTCTGTTATCAATGGAACCCAGGCACTTCCAAAGGCGGGAATAGTGCCTGGGGAATGGCAAAGAGCAAAGATTTAGTCGCATGGCAGGACTGCACCCCGGCGTTGAGAAACGGCACATCCTACGACTCACTAGGTGTTTTCTCTGGATCAATCGTTTCCAAAATCGTCGAAGGAGAGCGTGTTTTGTACCTTTTCTACACGAGTGTCTCATCCTTGCCAATCCATTGGTCGCTACCGTACGTCGAGGGGTGCGAGTCCCAATCTGTTGCATTCTCAACAGATTTCGGGGAAACATGGCACCGTTATCAATACAATCCGCTTCTAGCATCACCGAAAAATGGCACAAGAACAACCGGATGGCGGGATCCCTTTGTTTCACAGTCGCAGTCTCTTTCCAAGCTGCTGGGGTCAGATGTCGAAACCAACTTCATGATGATTGCGTCGGGCAATCGAGACTTGGGATCTCAGCTTTGCGTGTATCAATCCAATGACCTGCTAGGATGGGAGTCTCTGGGAACAGTGCTAAGAGTAAAGAATGGGTCGAAGATCTCTCCCAGCAGCAAGTTGCAATTTGGTCAGAACTTTGAATGCGCTTCATTCTTTACTCTGGGCCAGCAAGACTATATCGTCGTGGGTGTCGAGGAAGACAGTCATAGCGAAAGACACAATGGGCATTATCTCTTATGGCTTTCCGGCAAATTCACTCTGAAAAACGGCAGCCTGGACTTCGAAATTCAGTCCCACGGATTATTGGACCACGGCATCTTATATGCGGCCCATATCTTTCGTGATCGTGAAAACAGACTACTTCAACTGGGCTGGGCTGACGAAAGTGCAAAAGAGTCTGTCATAGAGTCGCAGGGCTGGGCAGGGTGTCTGGTTCATCCAAGGGAGCTGTTCGAGATCTCTGAGCCTATAACCGATGTTGGAAGAGCGAGCAATAGATGGCTCGTTGACGAAGAATCTGGCAGGATGTCAACACTTGGAATTCGCCCAGCACCACAAGTCACGACTCTCAGATCTGGTTATCCCTCGAATTCGCTTCAGGAGTTTAGCTCAATCCGAACGAAGACCTTTGAACTAACAGCTACCTTCACCAACCTCTCCGGCAACGAGAGGTTTGATTTCAATGTTCGAAAATCGCCTGATAACACCGAAGTTACGAAGCTCATCTTTGATCTCGAGAAGGGCGCAATGATAGTTGATAAAAGCAAGTCTTCTATCCACGGTCTCGGGGAGTCAACTCCTGACTTTGGGGATCTTGACCTCCTCGATGGAGAAGACCTTGTTGTTCGAATCTTTGTCGATGTTTCTCTGGTCGAGATTTACGTGAACAACAGATTCACGCTCACTTCACGTATTTATCCAAGCCTTGAGACTTCGATATGTGCATCATACAACTTTGGGTCATATCCTGAGTCGGCTGTAGATTTGAGACTCTGGGATAGGCTCAGAGATGCATGGCCAGACAGGATCCCCGGTGATACTTTGACAGAGATGGGCGCGCATGAAGGGAATGAGTTGCGTGAGCAGGAGCTTGGAAGAAGCGAAAGTTTTCTCTGTCCTGCTATCGTAGCTTGAAATTTAAGATGTTTGAAGGAAACGTGCATTGTATGTATATCAACTTGACGCGACTCAGTGCAATCGATGTCTGCGTATATTGTGCAAGTATCAAGAGGGGGGAGAGGGGGGGAATTCTGCGGGCAATATCGAATCCCTTCGCTAGGTTTGTACAAATGGGCCTTTATGCTTCTTTTGTGTAAGTCTACAATAGTTCGATCGCAGGATTAAAAGTAGAAAAAAAATTAAGATTCCTCGCAGTAAACGCCATCAATGGACTGTACAATCTATATACCATTTCAAAAAAAGAAAGCCGTAATCCTTCACATCATTCAGTCTGTAATTATTTCTGAGACTTGGTCACAATGACATCAGCAAGTGCCATCAGCGAACCAGTCGACAGGAGCTCCAGCACCTGCACATTGGCATTTGCCTCACGGGCAATCCAGTTACGAATCTCAATCGCAACCAAAGAGTCCAAACCAAGTGAAGAAACGGAGATAGTAGGCTCGATATCCTCAAGGGAAAGCACCAGAACTTGGGCCAGCTTGGCTGCCAAAGCCTTGTAACAAACTTGCAGCTTCTCCTCCTTAGACTCGGAGTTGGCGAACTGCACATGGAGCGGCAGAGCGACCTCGGCTGATTCTCCACCGGCCTGAGACTTGTTGGCCGTGGCCAGGAGACTGAACTTGGCGTCCTGCTCCCAGAAGTGGTCATGGGTGTTAGACTCCAAGCCAGTAATGGCTTGCCCGCCGCATGACTGGGTCAGATCGCCGGTGATGGCCGCAGCCAGAAGTGCCAGCACTTCCGCCTCGGTCATTCCGTCTGTGCCGATGTTCTTCAGTACCTCTTGCTTGCGCTTGGTGTCAACCTCGGCGAGGTAACCCACGTCGCTCACGGCAGTGAGGTCGATTGTTGTGCCAGGGAGACCCTGGCTACGGCGCCACTCCATGAAGCCGTCCAGGAAGACGTTGGCGGCTGAGTAGGCGGCTTGTCCTCGGTTACCGACGACACCGGAAACGGAGGACAGCGCCACGAAGAAGTCAAGAGGAGACTTGGTGAGTGCATCGTGGAGGTTCCATGCGCCGTCGACCTTGCTGGCAGTGACAGCCTCGAAGTCTTCGAGGTCCATGTTCTCGAAGAGCATATCCTGGGAAGACGTTAGTAATTTGCAAACTATAAAAATGTAGCAGGTTGACTTACCCGAAGAACCATTGCACCGTGGACAACACCGCGGATTGGCGGCATATCCGTCATATCCTTCAACATAGCGTCGACTGACTTGCGGGTACTGACGTCGCAAGCCTTGACGGAGATGTTCGTGCCGCTAGGGGCCAATTCATCCATCAGGGCTTGCACGTTCGCATTGACTGTAGCACTTCGTGACACGAGTACAATGTTGCGGGCACCCTTCTGTGACATCCACTTAGCCATGCTTCGACCCAGACCACCAGTACCTCCAATCAAAATATAGGTGGCGTCGGCCTTGAGGATGTTAGAGCCAGTCTTGGCGACGACTGCGTTGACATGATCGCCCTCTTGAGGAATGACCACGATCTTACCCATCGACTTTCCGGTCTGCAAGGCACGGAAAGCGGTCTCAATCTCAGAAATGGGGTAAGACGAGAGAGGGAAGATGGAGTGGATGAAGCCGTGAGCCATGAGGGAGGAAACGTTGTCCAGCAACTGCTTCATCAACCAAGGCCTGTAGGCCGCGATCTTGGTAAGATCGACAGAGTGGAATGAGACATTGTACTCGAAAGGCAGCATGTCCAGACGGGTGTTCTTGGTAATATCCGCTTTACCAATTTCAATGAATCTTCCGAAGGGTGCAAGACATTCCCAGGTTTCGCGGAGCAGATCACCTGCGAGGGAGTTGAGAACGATATCGACACCGCCAGTGACTTCGCGAAGGCTGCGACCGAAGGAAGCATCGCGACTGTAGAAGATGTGGTCCTCGCGGATACCGTACTGCGTGATGAGGAACTCCTTCTTCTCTGCGCTTCCAACAGTCACGTAAATATCGGCCTCGGCCATCTGTGCAAGCATGATCGCGGCCTGACCGACACCACCAGCGGCGGCGTGGATCAAAACCTTCTCTCCGGTTCCATTCTTCAGGCGACCAAGCTCATAGAGGGCATAGTATGCGGTGCAGAAGACAACGGGCACAGTGGCAGCAACCTCGAGCGAGATGTTTTCGGGGATGGGGGTCGCACTGGTTCCCTTGCAGCGTGCGAATGTAGAGTAACCACCCAGGGGCAGAGCCATGACTCGCTGGCCAACCTTCAAGTTGGTGACCTTCTTGCCAATGGAAGAGACAATACCACTGCACTCAATACCGATGTAAGGCTGAGCAAGTTGTCCCATAGTCACGACAATGTCCTTGAAGTTCAGACCGGTGGCCTTGACTTCGATTTCGATTTCATCATCAGCCAGCGGTTCGACTTCGTCGTCTGCAAAGTACAGAGTATCGAGGGCACCGTAGCTGCCAATCTCAAGGTGGAAGCGGCGACCGGGCTGAACAAATGGCTGAGATGAAAGAGTGGCATCGGCACTAGTCTCATTCTTCACGAAGGAATTGAGAGCGACGTCATTCGTGACACGAGGGACAAAGAGTTCGCCATTCTCGGTCTTGAACTCGAAGTCCTTGCAAGGCTCGGCAGATGGGTCAGCTGGCCATAAGGCCTTCATGGCAGCCAAGACAGGCCCAGCTGGCTTCTTCACATCCTCGGCGCTGAGTCCAAGGGTGGCAACCTTGGCAAGGGTTTCGGAGCGTAAGCTGCGAGTGAGACCAACGATCATCTGAGAGTCGGGAGTGTCGTTGCGGTAGACCCAAATGACGTTGGTAGAGTTGAGAAGAGTCTTCTGGATGTTGGCAAAGTCTGACTCTGTAAGGTCACGCAAGGTCTTGGCTGCAGTGTGGAGGATAATAACATGCTCGCGCTTCTGGTTGGCATCGATCTCACTCAGCGACGAGATGGAGGTCGACCAGCGAATGGCTTCCTTGGAGATAGCCTCATTCAGGCGCTCAGCAGCAACTTCAGACTTGCCAAATTGGGCGATCAGAAGTTCATCCTTGGACTCATCGTGGTGGCCGTTGACTCCGTTGGTGTGGCCATTAGTGTGGCCGTTGGCATGTCCATTGGCGTGTCCGTTGGCATGTCCATTGGCGTGTCCATTGGCATGGCCATTGGTTTCCTTAGCCTCAGCAGCCTCCTCGGCAGCCGCACTTTCAATCTCAGCCAAGGACCTCCACTCGAGCTTATAGCAAAGGTCACGGGTACCATTGTCAGCACCTCCAGCGTCGTTGATAGGAGTCATGGTCAGACCCTCCATGTTGATCAAGACCTCACTAGAGTTCGTGGGTGTCACCCACAAGTCGAACTTGGTGGGTTCTGGCTTGGCCAAGTCAGAACCTCCGATACACCAGGCACGGAAGTGGTCACCGGGGGTGGAAGGAATGTTTCCATTGATGACAAGGTTCTTGATCATGGTTGGCATGTAAAGAGTGTCGAGCTCCATACGACCCTTTCCAAGAATAGGCCACACAAGGTGCAGCAGAGCATCCAAAAAGGTAGGGTGGATGGTCAAGGGAGCTTCGAAGTTCTTAGGCATAACCGATTTGGTATCGCGAACGTACAGATCAGCACGCGAGTGATGAGGGTCAGAGAAGCAGTTCTCAAGACCCTGGAAGGGAGTCCCATAGCCAGCGCCGACCTCTGCGAGCACCTTGTACAGATTATCGGTGTCAATCTTGTAAGTAGCAGCACCCTTCACCTCGGTGATTTTCTTTCTGAATACCTTCTCCTCGAACTCGACAGAGTTGACCACAGAGTTCTGCTTCTTGTTCTTGTTGTTGGCGCGAGTTCGGACCAGACCCGTGCAGTGCTCTGTCCAAGACCGCTTGGTGTTCCAAGAGCAAATACGGAATTCATCCCAGGCATCTGAGGTACCACGAGTGCCCTCAGTGTAAGGCTTGAGGGTGATGGTAGTCTCGGCATCCACGTCATCAGTCAAGACAAGGGCGGCACCCACGCTCACTTCGCGGAATTCGAACTGCGAGTTCGCGGCAACGGTGCCGTACTTCTCTGAGCGTCTCCGAGCGGCCTCAATTGCCATAGCCAGATAACCAGCAATGGGGTACACGCTCATTCCCTGCATCTTGTGGTCACGGAGCCAAGGAATATCGTCGAGCCGAACAATGTTTCTCCATGTAGGTTCCAAGTCATTGGAGTAGAATGCCTCGGCACCCAGAACGTCGTTTCGGATTCCATCTCGGAATCTGTGCTTCTCAGTGATACGGGATGTGTGCCAGAACTCCGTCTCGTGCTGCCAGGGGTACCTCGGCAGATCGCGCAGGAAGGTGCGAGAAGCTGTACCCGTGCGAGGGAAATTGATCTCGTTGACATTAAGGGTTCCACCACGCACGTACACGGCACCGGCAGCGTCTTGGACAGACTGGGAGGGGTCGGCTTTCCGGAGAACTGTTGGAGCATAGCCGACCTTGGAAGCGACCGATGTGCCAAGTGTTTTCAGGGTGTCAAGAATGGGACCCTTGAGCGCAGAATGAGGTCCAACTTCAATGAGTAGGTTGGGCTTGTCCTCGGCGCCACACATCTTGCTGAGGGCGTTGGCGAAAAGCACCGACGAGGTCAAGTTCTGCACCCAGTAGCTCGGGCCAAGGTCGGTCGCCTGGCCAATTCCACCGGTCACAGAAGAGAAGAAGGTAGCAGTGGCAGTGTCCGATGGTTGTACTGACTCAATGGCGGACAAGTACGCCTCACTGACGTTCTTCATGTGGTCGGAATGGTAAGCGACGTCAATCATGAGCTTACGGTTGAAGATCTTCTTCTCTTCGAGAATGAGTTGCAGCTCCTCAATAGCCGGGACATCACCAGAGATGGTGACACTGGAAGGGCTGTTGACACAGGCCACAGTAGCGTATCCAGCGGAGAGGGTCTTCAGCATCGGCTTAATGTCTTCCACACTGGAGCCAACGGCCATCATAGTACCCTTGAGGTCGGGGTAGGTGCTCTTCAACAACTCGGTCATTTGACCACGGCGGTACGCAAGGGTCATGGCACCCTCGAGGTCGAAAATGCCAGCAGCGTACGCGGCGCCGATTTCACCGGAACTGTGACCAACGACCGAGCTCGGACGGATACCCCAGGAGCGAAGCAAGTCAACAAGGGCAACCTGCAGAGCAGTGCATGCCGGTTGACTCAGGTAAGGCGTGTTGATCCGGGAGCTTTCCGCATCCTTCTGCAGCTCCTCGAGAAGTGAGAAGTCAGCACCCAAGTCCTGTGACAGGCATTTGTCGGCGCGCTCGACGGCAGAGGCAAAGATAGGGTATTCATCCATCAGAGGCATACCCATCTGAGCCCACTGGGCTCCCTGTCCAGTGAAAACAAATGCGACCGAAGGACCGTCACCTCCGACCACACGGGCTGGGTTGATCTTCATCTGCGCAAGTTGAACACCAGCATCGTTGAGGGACGTAGCGGACAGAGCGATACGGAATGGAAGGTGAGACAATTTGCTTCCAACTGTATAGGCGAAGTTGCTAAACAAGGTGTTTTCAAAGACCTCGGGACGTTGCTCGAAGTAGATACCGTAGTCACGGCTTCTCTGGCGAAGAGCTTCTCGGTCATTTGCTGAGATCAAAATCAGACGGCGCTTGCCTTCTTTTTCCTTCAAGGTCTCTTCTGGTGCCGTCTGCGAAGGACCCTTTTGCAATACAGCATGCGCGTTTGTACCACCGAAGCCGTAGTTGGAAATACTGATATATTTCTTGCCACGGGGCCACGGGCGCGTCGAGTTCACGACCTTCATGTTCCACTCGGCTAACGGGATCTTGGGGTTGGGCTTCTTGTATTCGGCATTGGGGAGTAGAAGCCCACTATCGAGCATCATGGCGGACTTGATGACAGAAACAATACCACTGGCACCTGTTGAATGGGAGATTTACAGTTAGCAATAAAGAAAAAGAAGAAAGGAGTCTTGTTTACCTTCCAGGTGGCCAACATTGGTCTTGACTGATCCTATATAAAGCGGGTTTCTCGCGTTTCGGTTCTCTCCAAGTACTGCATGAATAGCAGTTGCCTCGATGGGGTCTCCGGCCGCGGTACCTAGACGATATTAGCTTACTTGGGCTTTCAGTTAGGATTTAGTGACATACCTGTGCCGTGGGCTTCGACGTAGCCACAGTCTGCTGGGTTCAAGTTCGCTTCCTTATACACCCGGCGGATTAAATCCTCTTGGGACTGGCCATTTGGTAGGGTAATTCCCTTAGTTCTTCCATCTTGGTTTACACCAGAATGAGTAACCACAGCACGGATGGGATCGCGATCGCGGATCGCAGCAGAGAGAGTCTTGAGCATAATTACACCGGCGCCCTCGCCACGGGCAAATCCGGATTTTCCTCTCTCTTCAAACGCGTATGTTCTTCCCTCTTCGCTGAGCAATCTGTGGAAATGTGAAGGTCAACCACTGCCGGGTAAAAAGAGGTGAACCATCCCCATTGGGGATGAAGGACTCACTGCTGCATAGACATGGAAATGGAGTTTTCAGGGTTCAAAAGCAAGTGGCAACCACCCACAAGGGCCTCGGTGGATTCTCCGTTCCTCAGACTCTGCACAGCAGTGTGCAAGGCAACGAGAGAAGACGAACAGGCCGTATCCACTGTCAAACTGGGGCCCTTTAGGTCGAACATATATGAAATTCGGTTAGCCTTAAGACCAGGGGCACACCCCGTGGCTTGAAACATGGGAGTCGTCTCAGTATCGCGCATGTTGTTAGACTCGTAATCTGCAAAGTTTCCTCCCATAAAAACACCGACACTACGTCCGGCCATATATTCTCTGGGAATACCGGCGCTCTCCATTGCTTCATATGCACATTCCAGCAAGAAGCGGTGTTGTGGGTCCATGGCAACGGCCTCCTGGGCACTGACGTTGAAGAAAGGTGCGTCAAATCGTGAAACATCACCAACGAAGTAGCCACCTGTTTGATTGGAGGTGCCTGCTTTCGAAGGGTTCGGGTGGTGGTAGGCTTCTGGTGACCACCGTTCCTTGGGGATGGGGCACCAGCCGCTTCGCCCTCTTGTGCATAGTTCCCATAGATCACTTGGGGAAGAGACCTGACCAGGAAGTCGGCAGGAGTATCCAATAATCGCAATGGGTTCCAGAGCCGGGGACTCTCCCGGAGACTGTGGCCCATTGGCGCCTGCTGTAGTGTCCATAGCTGGGGACATCTTTCTGGGTTTGTTCAAAAGGAGTGAATAGTGATAGTAAGGATGGGCAAGTATTAAGGACTGCTATATGCCAGTCTGGAGCCCAGCGCGAAAGGAAGGAGGGAATAGAATGCAAAGGAGATGAAGGAATACAGAAGACAAAAAGGAGAAAAGAAAAAGATGTACAGAATAAGGACAGACCAGTTCACACGTGTAAATTCTTCTCTGTAAAAGACAGAGAACAGACGGCCCACTTAGTGAAAGAAAAGCAGGACGATCGGCAATTTTAAATCACAGACGGGGCTATCTGACAACTGAGAGTACAAATACAGACGGCATTGGGTAAGATGTCCAAGTTCTGCCTCGTACATATGCAAAGTCTCCAGATTAGGGGTTGGCCCAAGACCAACAGGAGTTTGGCAAACCCTTCCGTAGTGGGGAGCTATGCACCTGTTTCAATTTTCGGGATTGATAAATCCAATCAAGTTAACGCAATACTTAGACTTTATGGCTCCTTTGTAAAAAATTGGGGACTTGATCTATGGGTCTTGTTCCTGCATCTGATTTGATTATATGTGGATCAACTAAAGTGTGGCTGTCTGCCGATCCCATCGCCTTAGAGAAATAGCCTATGGATCATATACGTCGATCGAAGGGATTCGGGATCAGGGATCGGCAAAGCTCCCCCAACATTTTATTAAATATTTTCAGGTCCGTAGCGTTTGCCATTGACTTAATTACCTTCGACCCTGTTCAATTCATCCTCTCATTATTAGTATACGACGGTTTTTGATCATGCATTTCCTATGTCTTCACGGTGCCATTGGCAACACTGATGTGAGTGCGCAGAATTGAGTGTGCGAAATTGGAGTCGTGCTAACAGATACGCAGAATATCACCATTCAGCTAGGTAACTAGCCCCCGAAAGATTGGTCTTATGGTTGTTGACAGGGAAATCTACAATCAGCACCTCTACAGAAGGATTTGGGGTCAGACGCAACTTTTCACTATATCAACGGACCCCTGCCTTTTATCCCTCCACCAGGTAAATTTTCCCTCAGGATAGAGGCGTGTATTTGCGGCCTAACCAACGCTACAGGATTTGAGGAATACTTCGGAGTCGGACCGCATTACCGGTGGGCTGACGATGGCCAAGCGCCAGAAGATTCGTGGATTATGCGCATTCGCGGCAATGCAGCTCCCAGCGACGATACAAACAACGAGGATGCGATGAGAGGGTTACTTGGAGAAGGGTCTTGTAAGAACCACCCCGAGCTCATGAAATACATCTACGACGCACTAGAGCGGAATCCCGAGATCAGTGGAATTATCGCATACAGCGAAGGAGCTATGGCTGCTTCCACTTTCATTTTGGATGAAGAACGCCGGCATCGCGAGGAAGGTCGGGAGCGCCAGATCAAATGCGCCATGTTCGTCGGTGGCTGGCCTGCCATGAGACCGAACAGCGGATTCATTCTCGCAGACGACGGAGGAGAGGAAATGATCGACATTCCCACTCTCCATGTTGTGGGTGCAAATGGTAATAAATGATGCCTCCCCTATCTTTTTGACACTTGGCTGATCTATCTATGCAGATCCCTTCCGATACGGCTCTGAAGCCCTTTACGACATCTGCGATCCTGACACTGCCGAATACTTCGATATGGGTAAAGGACATGTCATTCCACGGTCTGGCTTAGTGATCGGAGAATTGAGCAATGCCCTTCGGGGATTGGTCAAGAAGACAGAACCGGAAGAGTAAGGAGTAAGGGGCTGGGGGATCGTATCGCAAGATCGTACCTTTTCATGTATTATTACGTCGGTGGTGGGTCGGATCGGCTGCTGAGGAACGAGTGATCGAATCCTAATTTCAATCGCGCACTATCGGTAGTGTCTCGGCTCATCACCGGGTTCGAGATCTGCAGCGCTAGAATGTAATTGTTGTACTTTACTAGAACCTCCACTAAAAAGTGGAACGTTGGGTTTATGGCCCAAAGCTGAAAACTTTCCTAGGCATCTCGTACTCAGGGGTCCCGATCGTCCACTGTGGAGATAACTAGTGAAGTATCCAAATTAATTGGATGTTATGATTCTGTTGACTGTAAATGGAGTACACCTGAGCTCCGTACTATACGTGTTCTATTTGAGCGCGGGAACAAATCATTTAAAATGGTAGGGATCATCGAGAGCTGTTTTCACGACCCAGATAGGACTGTGGAATTGCTCTCTGTCACGGTTTCCTTTGCCTTCTCTCCAACTCTTCAACCAAATTGGCATTTCAGCTTTCAAAATGCGTTTCTTGTCTCTTCACGGTTCACTGAGCAGTGGCCCTGTAAGTGAATATCGTCCCTGAAGTGGGGTCACCGGGATTATACTGATTGTCGCAGACTTTCGACGCGCAGCTAGGTATCGTTGAATTGCTGATGGAGAAGTTATCATACACTGACTCGTGAAATAGGGCCGTTGCAACAAAATTTGGCCGCCGACAACGCAGCTTCATTTTATTTCATTAATGCGCAGCTATACGGCAAGGCCCCCGAAGGTGTGATACACTCGCGATGATTGAATTGAAGCGATCTAATAGAGGCAGGAAATGAGGGATTTTTTGGACCCCCGCCACACTACCGCTGGCTTGACTACCAGGGTGTTGAAACAGAAGCACTACACCAATCAGTACGCGGCGCGCGAGGCAACTCAGATGCTCCCGCAGAAGAGCTTCTCAGTGGGATGATACCTGTTGATATCACCTGGGCCAACCATAAAGATATTATGGAGTATCTCGACAAGAAACTTGAGGAGAATCCTGATATCGAGGGCATCTGTGGATACAGTGAAGGAGCCTCTATCGCATCGACGTACATCTTGCACGAGCAAAAGATGGAGCAGGAGCACGGCCGCCCTCGGCGGATTAAGTGTGGTATTTTCTTCACGGGCCTGCCCCCAATCGACGAAAAGAAAGGGTATATCTTCGCTGATCAGCGAGAGGAGATGATTGATATCCAATCGATCCATGTCATTGGCGCAGCTGGTACGTGTTGTCTTTTTATGGAAGAAAGAAATCTCTCGACGGTTAGCTAATTGTTACGTTTTTATGGATAGACCCTTTCCGTTGCGGCGCCGACTCGCTATACAACGTCTGTGACCCCGATACGGCCCAATTCTTCGATACTGGCAAGGGACACACTGTTCCACGCTCAGGACCTATCATCACTGAGCTTGGAGATGCGATTCGAGAAATGATTCAGAGGGCCAAGGAAGAATGAAGGAATTAGCCCCGTAGGAGATAAACTGCTTGGTGTCGCAGAAGTAACAGTTGCGCGGTCATTGCATATAAATTACCTCTCCATCGATATTGTAGTCGTATAACTATAATAACCTTATCGCGAACCAACTTGGCGTATTGGTCGTGTACTAACGAATTGTTGGGTGTCTGAGGTATCCACAGCTTTCCCCATTTCTCCACGTTCTGCTCTCAGCGGCTCGAAAGAAATTATTTCTCAAGAACTAATCAATTTTTAAATCGATGTATCCAGGTCTGAGAACCAATGTCAGATAAGTAAAAATTGATTGCCATATTCAGGTGATCCCTTGTATTGTACACTTTTTAAGTAAATGTGGGTTTCTAAACACAAACAGGATCAAACCCCGAACATGAGCGAAAACCCACCATTGAATCGAAAGACTAATGAATGACAGGCCCCACTCAAATTTCCTTGGTTTTGTGCAATAAATTTCGGGGATTTTGAAGGATTGCAAAAAAAGAAAAAAAGGCAATCTCGGGCTTGGCGATCGAGTGTTTTCATTGCCGGTGATGGGAGTCTTAAAGCCGGTGACCCACCCCTGCAGCTAGTCAGAAAAGTAAGAATGCTCCGAGAAAAAACAATAACTGCTGTCACGCCTTATTCGGCGAGGCATTGATTTTTAGAAGTCTAATTTCAAACATGCGATCTAAGGATCTAAGGATCAACATAAGCCTTTTTGGAACCCATCGCAAACGTACATTTTGAGTAAACCCAATATGTGCAAACTTTAGGAGGTGTTCAAAAGTTCTGACGTGCCGCCATAACCATAAGATATGCTCTAGCGCTGTTTTCCTACTTATTTACCCTCGCTTAGCCTCCCGCTATGAAGAGGTGCATTGGGCTTGGACCATAACCCCCCGCGATGGTCTCATTTATGGCTGTAGGCATAACATGTCGTCACCACGAGCCTTCACTGACCAGAATTGCGTGACCGGTTTAAATTATTCTTGCGCTTTCTTTAGGAGTATAAAAGCACTAAAGCTATACTAATCTTTCAAGACGCTTGCCTAGACCAACTAACCTCCACGAGATATACTCTAACCTCCATGAGATATACTGCTGCATTGCCTTTTCTTGCAATCATTAAACATGGCAAATGAAGATGAGAAGACTGTGCAGGTATCTGCCAGTCTGAAAGTCTCGCCGGGTACTAGTATCGGAGATGACTCGGATAGGGAACGACAGCAGAGCCATTCAAACAAAGCGGAAGGCACATTCGAGGGAGCAGACAGCCATCGCCTCTTCAGGCCTATTGACAGCTACGAGGGACTTCATCGTTGGGATCCGGATTTTCAATGGACAGAGCAGGAAGAAAAGAAGATCGTTAGAAAGGTTAGTGGTTTTTCTTTCCAATCAGACGCAGATGCTCAGACAGAAATTTGAACAGATTGACATTCGTGTTTGCACCTTTGCCTGCGTGACATTCTTTGCATTACAGCTTGATCGAGGAAACATCGGCCAGGCGTTGTCAAGTACATTGCTCAAGGATCTGGAGATGACAAGTAATGATTACAACTTGGGTCAAACTATATTTCTAGTCTGCTTCTTGCTGGCCGAGATGCCCTCGCAATTGATCTCCAAGAGACTGGGCCCCGATCGCTGGATTCCGATTCAAATGATCTCTTGGAGTTTGGTTGCAGCCTGTCAGGCCTTTTTGCAAGGACGCGCATCATATCTGACCCTTCGGGCCCTGCTAGGGCTTTTGGAGGGTGGCTTGTGAGTGGCTAAGATCGAATGATGTGAGATTTGACTAACGATGTCCAGCATACCCGACACTGTCCTCTTCTTGTCTTTCTTCTATAAGTCCAATGAGCTGCCCAAACGATTGACCTGCTTCTGGATCTCCCTAATAGTGGCTGGAATTATCGGCGCATTCCTGGCTTTCGGTTTTCTCCATATTACCGACTCTCATGGTGGGGGCTCATGGCGATACCTCTTCGCATATGAAGGCCTTATAACTGGCACCATTGGAATTATCGCCGTATTCTGGATGCCCGCTTCGCCGGTACAAACGAAGGGAGGATTCCGCGGCAAACACGGATGGTTCAATGAACATGAAGAAAAGATCATTGTGAATCGAGTTATCCGAGATGATCCTAGCAAGGGTACTATGCATAATCGCCAAGCAATCACACCAAAGCTTATGTGGGCATCGTTGAAGGACTTCCATATGTGGCCACTTTACATTATTGGGCTGATCTGGATGATTCCCTCTGGGCCAGCGACCAACTACCTCACGTTACAATTACGATCGCAAGGATTCACGACTTTCCAGACTAATTTGTTGGTTATTCCCTCAGCCGTCGTTGGGATCATCACTATAATAGCCATTACCTGGCTGGCGGAGCGTACAAACCAACGCCTACTGTGCGGTGCAGTGATGGGAGTGTGGAACTTGATTTTGTTAATTGCATTAGAGGTGCTTCCACAAAAAAGCATGCCCTGGCCTAGATGGACTATCCTCACTCTGCTTGTCGGAGGTCCCAGTATTCACCCTGTGCTGGTGGCTTTGACCTCACGAAATGCTGGCTCTGTACGGACTCGTACTGTGGCTTCTGCATTGTACAATATGACTGTGCAAATCTCCAGCATTGTCAGCGCTAATGTCAGTTTCCAATCATTACTCTGATTTTGTCGATTGCCTAGTGATGCTGACAATCACAAACAGGTCTATCAAGCAAAAGATGCACCATATTACAGGCATGGGAACAAGGTTTTGATCGCACTAGCGGTGTCTGGTATAGCCCTTTTCATTGTTGCAAAGTTCTATTATGACTGGCGCAACAAGTAAGTATCCATATCCTCCTGTGGTTTGAGAAGGCTACCCCTACTAACACATCCAGACAAAATGCAGCCCAATGGAACGCTATGACAACCGAAGAAAGAGAGCTTTACCTACGCGAAAACCCAGTGTTGACTAACAAGAGGTATGCGGACATGGGAAATTACAATTGTACCCAGTACTGACGAGCTAACAATTAATGCAGAATTGATTTCCGATTTGCTCTTTGAAGTCTGCTCACCGTTCGGGTAATGCCTACTGTGATGTATATATTTCGACTAGGGTGGAAGCAACACTGTACATAGTCAATTTACATTCCACATGTCTAGCAGTTTATATTACCCAATGCATGCTAAATACACCCATTCGAACTCAAATGAAACTTTTGAAAACAAGAGTGTATTTATCCGAGGTTAGCTTCATAGGATGCACATGCGACCGCGTTTAGCGAGATGGGTCTAGCCACCGAGCTGGTGATAAGGCAATGGATGTAACTTGTAGGCTCATGTTTAATTGAACGCCGGTCAAAATTGCAAAATCGTGGCTTAAATGAGACCATTTTCATCAATATATTTTTGCCGACGATAATCGCGCCAGGTTTGGCACTGATGTTGCAATATTTAGTGAGGGGTTTGTTGTGTACATCAACCGCGCCCACGTAAACTTACACTAAAATAT